CACTGTGATGCTTACTAAATCAGCCCTCCTCTCCTCCAATATTATATCTCTTGTTACGACATCAGGTGCTAAACCATATAGTGAAGGATTCCTTAACATACGGTAAGTGTATAAAATCCAATTACAAGTTTTCCTAGCATTTTGAACAGTACCAAGAACAATTTCGGCATTCAGCAGAAATTGTTGATAAACTCGTTAGAGTTATGTTTCTAGGTTGTTTCTTCGATGATGGATAATTGACATGATTTAGTGACATTTTTAATTTGCCATTTTATTTGGAGTTTATGCTTCTATGTGATGTGTTGTAAATGAATGTACGTTAGCAATTGCCATCGGTGAAATTAATATAGATTAAACCGAAAATGGGTATGATTCTATCATATTTTTTTACTGAATTGCTTGATGCATATTTGTATAAAGGGGCTGGTAGAATGAGAGCTCTAAAAGAGGTTTAAATAAAAGATTGATTGACCATGAGGATAGTTTAAACTAGGAGAGTTTTCAATTTTGTCACTATTGCCTTTGGTACCTGTTATGTATATAAAGTGTGAAGAGAAATGCATTTTATATGCAAAACAACAAAAGGCATGCAATTTCTCATTGATATATGTAAAAGGCATGCAATTTTCATGGATATTACTTCCTCCATAAATGCATTTTTCATGGATATAAATTCTTAATAAATCTTCCTTCATTTATCATTTTTTTATTTTTTATTTTTTGGGATTATGTTTTGTATATATGTAATTAGAGGTGGCAAAGTGAGCAGCTCGCCCCGCTCCGCCATCAACTCGTCAAAAATGAGTCAACCCGCCTATGTTTTTCACCAATATCTTTCTCTCATGTTTTTCCCCAAACTCAGTGATAATAAGTATAACATTCCTTATATATATATATATATATATATATATATATATGAGACTTTTTGACTCCGATGTTAATTCAATAAAGATAAGCACCTTCAAAGTTTCTTTGACTTTGATGCTGTTGTTTTAAATACAAAAAATAAAATAAAAAATAGTAATATACGTTATTTGGCTTTTCCAAAAATTAAGTCCAATATGGATGAAATTTATCCTAAGATAGGTTTAGTCTTAATATTCTAAATGAAAATCAATCCAATAATTTTAAGACCGTAAAGAAATGTTGGGATAAAAAAAACAAAGTATAGTGAGATCGAATATTTTTTACAGAAAGAGATTAGTGAGAAATCTCTTTTTTATTTTTCATTTTCTGAAAAGAAAGCTGAATTTGTGTTTCATACAATTCTGATTTCAATGGCGAGGCCTAATCAGGACGCAATTGAGACATTCATCCACATCACAGGCTTATCTGAAGCAATCGCAGTGCAAAAGCTCTAGGTTAATTATCTTTTCTCCTTTTAATCCTTTAGCGATCATATTATCTCAAACTATCTCTTAATTTCAATTATAATGGAAGGTGAATAAAGTTATTCATAGGTAATAATTATGTCTTTTTTTTTGCGTTGCGTGCTAAGTGCAGTTACCCACCCAGATTCGAAATTATTTTTGGTCGTTGATTGTTTGCTCTAAAGTTAGGATTTTGGATTATCTAGATTCTTCTGTTTGCCGACCCTGATGAATGAGGGTCAATCATAACTTCTGCTTTGCAAATAAAAGATATTTTTAGGATGAAAAGAAAGAAAAGCAAGGTGCAAAAGAGACCAACAAAAAAAGGAAAATCTCATGATGCTTTGACAATCATTATACAGTAGTTGTAGATAGATTGATTGGTATGCAGAAACTGCATAGACATTACAACTGGCAAACAACTAGAAAACCACGGTTGAAGTCAAGTTTTGGTATAAACATCTCAAATTGAATATTGCAAAATATATTAATGATTAAGGATTATATTACAAAGTGCTGGAGATGCTGATAATCTAATTGGCCAGCTTTCAGGGTTGATAAAGGTAAGGGTGTCAATATAGGTTACGAGATGCGGGTCGACCCGCGACACGACACGAAAATTCGTGTTCGAGTTGACCCGCAAAAACAAATCGTGTCGTGTTCGTGCTGAGAAAAATGACACGTAAAAAATTTGTATCGTGTTCGTATTGATGTATTCGTGTTCGTGTTGACCCATATTTTTTAGTTTTTATTTTATTTTTTATTTTTTTAATTTCGACCCTTTTTTTTAATTTTTTTTGTCAATTACTATTTTGACCCCTATTTTGCATTTTATTCGTATCGTGTCGTGTTCATGTTGAAGATTTTGACATGAATAAAAATTTGTGTCGTGTTGATGTATTGGTGTCGTGTCAAATTCATGCAGTGTCAAATTCGTGTATCAACCCATTTTGACACCTCTAGATAAAGGCAGTATGGTGAGTCAAATGCATTTCAGTATTAGCTGCCTAATTATTAAGTTAGGTTAGGTGTAAAAAAAAAGTGGACTGGCGGGATTTGCAGGCTGGCGGGTTATCAAACTCAGCCCGCCTCGCCTTGTTTGACGGGCAGGGCGGGTTGAGTTCGTTTTGCTACCTCTATATGTGATCTAACCTAATAATATCCTAATCACAAGAGCAATTGTATAATCAAAATTCAATATTGAGTGCATTTACAATTGGATTTCATATATACCGTTTTACATATGGGCTAGGCTCCATTTTGCCTTGTGAATAAATTTTAATATTATTTGTGCACTCTTAGTGTCACGTATATATATGGTGAAGTTAAATATATAGAGATATTTTTGCGATATGTTAGGGCATTTATATAAAATAGAAAGTAAAAAATAGTTCTTATCTTTTTAGATAATATCATTTCTTAACCCAAAAATTTCATTCTTCATTGATTTTGACTAAAGGGTTATAAAAAATAGGGTTTGTGTTTTCTAAAGTTACTTTAGATAACTTTATCTAATGTTTATCAAAACGACGTTGTTTTGGGCGGAAATCATGGTGTTTTTGTAATTTTAATTTATTTAGGGTTATAATAGTCTTTATCATTCTAATTTTTTAATTTTTCAACCTCAAAACGACGTCATTTTGATGAACATTAGATAAAGTTATCTAAAGTAACATTAAATACTTTTTTCCCTAAAAAATATATAATAACGAATATGCGATGATATACAATATTGTTGTACGTTTATCATTCTCAAGTGTTGTATAATTGTAAGAGCCCTCACATAACATTGTTATCTTAGACTTCGTTTGGTATGAGTAAATTTCAAATTTTGCAGATTATTTTATGAAAATAATGTTAATAATCTTTTTTATAATTTTATTTTCATTGTACATAACATTTGGTTTAATTTTAGTTTTATTCATTTCATGATTATTTTGTTTAGAATAAAGCAAATATTTTTAAAATAATTAATTCTTTGCACAATATGTATAAAAAAATCATTTGCACAATTAACTTAAGGTAACCGTTTTACATGATGTATCAGGTACATTGGAATTAAGTTTCCACCATTTATTGTGCATAACTAAACTACCGAATCATGGTTTTTTTTTTGGTAGACACCGAATCATGGTTTAAATCTTCAAAAGACCAGTTTTTATCAAATGTTGAGGTTTTTAAAAACAATTTAAATTAAATAAAATTGGTGGTGACTCCATGTTTTTTTTTTCAAGTTTACTTTGGGTCGTTACAGTCCATTTTTTCTTATTGGTCAACTAAGAAAAACACGTGGGAGATAAGCAATTATAAACAAGAAGTACAAGAGAAAAAGTGATTAAGCACCACTAGGGTTAGCCTAGTGGTGTGAGGTATGTATGTTAGGAGTATGTGTAATATAGGGTGTTGTGTTCAATTCCTTGTAACCTCCAAAAAAAGAGAAAAAGTGATTAAATATTAAATGATAATAATGTTTTTTAACTTTTTCCTTCTAATAGTTAAAAAGAAAAGAAAAAACAAAAAGTGAGAAACAATATAAAATCAAACAAGTTAATGAGGTATATGAAAATACAAATAAAGGGTGTTCTGTTCAACATCTATTGTAATTTAATGCCTCGATATGAAAAAGTAAAATTATAATTGAGATTATCATTGTCATGTTTTTGGGCACTCTTGCGATTTATATGAATAGGTAATGTAAAGTTCTTAATTTTTTTTTTTGGTAAACTATTTTTTTAAATATAAATAAATTTTTTATTGGTTCTCTATTTTTATTAATTTAATTTATACTTTTTTTCAAATATTAGTTTAAAATTTATTAAAAAATAAATATATAAAAATAAAATCAAACTATTAGGATAAAAATAATTTTTTCTTCAGCAACCATGTACATGTATAATAATGATGTATTCAAATACATCGATTGACAAACATAAAAGAGATATATAAATGATAAATATAAAAGATGCATGTGGATGATATTTAAAGAAAGGGTTATGTTTATCTTATTTTACATGAGATAAATAACTTTCCTACATACACAAAAAGATATTGGGTCTCACAACTCTTTTTTATCTTTTCTTTTACCTGTGGATCCCACTTATAATTTTATTTCTATAACATGAGATAACTTTTTTCCTACTAACATAAGAAAAATATTTCCCTTAAACAAAACACCCTTTGTTGTTCATTTCCATATTATTCCTCACACAAGTTTTTTCTTTTAAGTTTTTAATTATTGTAGGGAAAAAATTCAAAAATATTTCTATGGTTTAATATTTTATCACTTACCCCTTATACTTTTTTTAATCACTTATCTTCTTTATATTTGTTTCCTATTTGCAAGGGTAGAATGAACAAATTAAAACAACATTGAACAATGTTAAAGGATGAAGTTTGATGAAAAAACTAGAGGTAAGAGTTCAAAAAATAAAAAAAAATCAGGAGATCAAATGATTTTGGACAATCCACAAAGGAGATTTTGAACTTTTCCATTTTGTTTTTGTTTTTGGTAGAGTTAGATTTGGGCCCATAATAGTGCAGTCACTATTAGTAGATGGGCCGAATCGAAATTCAAAACCCCTAATTGGCTGATTCTAACAAACTAAACCCTAATTTTTCCCGAAAATTGTGTGGGGGTTCATTTTCTTCCTTCTTTCCTTAAACCCTCTCTCTCTCTCGCATACGCATGGCTTCTGAAAGGGTAAGCTCCGAAACAGTGGCGAAAGCCGTTGATTCTCTCCTGAAATGGAGGAACTCACAATCCGAAACCCAAAAGCCGAAGCTGTTCGACGAAGACGAGGAATTCGTGTATCTGATTCTCACTCTCAAAAAGATTCCCCAAAAGGGTCGAGTTAACCCTTACAAGATCCCTCTCCCTCACTCCCTCCTCTCTCCATTCTCCGAGCAGTGCTTGATCATCGACGACAGGCCCAAGGCCCAACTCACCAAAGCCCAAGCCCAGAACAAGATCCAGTCCGGGAGCATCCCTATCTCGAAGGTTCTGAAGCTCACGAAGCTCGCCTCCGATTACCGTCCCTTCGAGGCGAAGAGGAAGCTATGCAATTCTTACGACCTGTTTTTCGCTGACAAGAGGGTTGTTCCTTTGCTTCCGAGGTTGTTGGGGAAACAGTTCTTCAAGAAGAAGAAGGTTCCTGTTGCTTTGGATTTGAAGAAGAGTAATTGGAAGGAGCAGGTTCAGAAGGCTTGTTCTTCGGGGCTGTTGTCTCTGAGTACTGGGACTTGTAGTGTTGTTAGGGTTGCCAAGTTGAGTATGGAGAGGGATGATATCGTATCCAATGTTGTTGCTGCCATTGATGGGATAACTGAGGTTGTTCCTATAAAATGGTCTAATGTGAGGTCCTTTCATGTCAAGTTGTTAGAATCCCTCGCCTTGCCCGTTTATCAGACGGTTCCTGATGTGAAGTTGAAGATTGTGGGAATTAAGGAGAATGAGAGGAAAGAGAAAGAGGAAGAGGAAGAGGAGGAGGAAGCGGGTGAGGAGAAAGTGGGAAAGAAGAAGGGTAGGATTCATCAAGTTAAGTACATGGATGATAAAGTTGGTGAGGATCTCATTAAAGATGATGATGATGATGATGATGTTGTTGTGGAAGAAGATTCTGAGAATGATGAAAAGGGTAATGGAGAATTAGTGAATAAGAAGAGGAAGAAAGGAGTTAAAGTGATGAAGGGGGTTCTAAATGAGTTGACTAGTGTCAAACGGTTGAAAAAATCTGCTAAGGAAGGTGGCAAACAGAAGAAGGAGAGTTTGATGAAGAAAATTGAAGATAAATTATCTATTGATGATCTGGAGTCGGGCAACAAGAAGAAGAACAAGAAGAGAGTGGATGTTGAAGTAAAGGCTAAGAGAAGTAAGAGGGTTTTGTGAGCTGATTGTTGATGTAATAGAGTATTTGTTGTTAGAATTCACTGCTTGATGTAGCTCTCCGCAATCCTGTGTTGTTTTGCTTTGTTGAGTCCTCTGGCAGATTTTGTTTTTGAGCGAGCTTATTATTATATTATGGCATTTGTTGTGTTCTGTTCTTTGGAATTTTGTCATTTGCTAATTCAAATTTCCTGTACTCTAGCTTATTAGAGTGGTTCTCAACGGGGAAAATCAAAATGTTGTTTCTCATTTCAGGATGATCTGAAGTTATTTAGATATAGCATGTTGTCAGAAACTGACTTAGAAATGGTGAGATGAGAGTTGTTGCTTGACTTTAAGCGAAAGTTTCATCAAGGAAACGATAGGAGCATGCCCAGAACAAATTATACTTTCAGTGATTGTGCTTCTTTCTTTTGGCATTATAGAATTTTACCGTGAATTTCATTTCTTATTTTCTATAATACACACATATTTCTCTTAAATCTGTTTTTCAGTGTTATTCTGCGTGTTCAGTTTGAGTTTTTCATTTCTTGAATGCTAAGATTAATGGGAATGACGATTGTGTAATAATCCATTTTGCTTTACTTTCGGGCACAAATTGTTAAACACTTCCAAGTATTGATTTTACAGACCAATAGAAAGGCTTATGGGTTTAAAATCAGTCTTGGTGATACCATTCATTCAATTAGGGTGTCTTTGCCTATGTATTCCCCTTGTACTGATATCTATTGTTCAAGACTGACTGTTACAAATTAAATAATTAATCTGTTCTTCTAAGAGATAAATTCTTTACCTAAGTATCACGAGTTCCAAATGAGATATTTCAAGTCCAAGTGGAACTGTCAACAATTTTGCCTTTTAACAATAATGATGAGATTATGTGTTTTATAAATTTATTTGAATACAAAATGCTCACAAGAGTTGACCAAGTAGTTGCTATCTATGATGCACGGACACTGACACGTGACACGAAACGACACGTCGACACGTTAATTCTAAAAAATGACATATTTTCACACGTTAGGACACATTTTGATATTAAATAATATTTTTATATATATAATATAATTTATATTTAATAGATATAACAGTCTATAATATATCATATAACCAATCAAATATATAAATTTCATAACATAAATATAAATATAAAGAAAATAATAAAACATTATATATTCAATCAAATATTCTTATAATTTTTATCTTTTGATTTTTATCCAATCTTTATATTTTCACTTATTTATTAAAACGGTGCATGTTATTCTATTCTGCAACTATTTTTTTTTTTGGTACAGACCATCTTTGTTTACAGCACAACAACCTTTTTGTGGAAAACAACAATATTATTTATCATTTTAACCTTTTGTCGGTACATACCATTTTTTTTACGGTGTATATTAAAAGTTGGAGCCAACTTTTAATAATTATTTATCCTTTTTTTTACGGTGCATATTAAAAGTTGGAAGCCTTTATCTTTTTTTAAAGTACAGACCATCGTTTTAACCTGTTGTCAGTAAAGACTTTGTTCTGAAAGTTGAAAGTTCCATAAAACGCTAGAGTGAGGATTATTGGAGAAGATCTGAATCGGTGCTTCATCTCCTCCGCCGTCTTGTAGCTCTTCCAGTACCTGTGAGCGAAGCGAGCGAAGGAGAGAGCATGGCGGCTTTGCCCGGTCACCTGGAGGACCCGTGCTTCCAAATCGTCGAAGCTCTACCCTGCGGTGGCGGCGGCGGCGAAGAACAGCAGGAGCAGCATGCCATCTCACTCTCACTCCTTCTTCCCTTGCATCCTCATCGCTTTGTGTCTGCCGTCTGTTTTATTTTTAAATTATTTTAATTTTATAAAAATTTCGAAAATTTTACATTTTTGTCCTTTGACCATGTCCGACACGGTCAAAATCGCGTGTCAAGATAGTCAACGTGTCCCAAAATATTGACCACGTGTCGGACGCGTGTCGGAACGTGTCGGTGTCCGACACATAATTTTTTAAAAAAACAACGTATCCGTGCTTTGTAGGTTGCTATGTGCCCCACAACGAATATGTAGTAGTCCCGGCACATGTGTGCCGGGAAGAGAGAGAGTGAGAGAGTGTGCCGGAAGAGAGAGAGTGAGAGAGGAAAGAGGAAAGAGAAGAGAGAAAGAAATAACGAGGGACCATGGAATATTTTTTCGTGCCCCAGTTATATTTCTTTTAGAGTGATTAATAATTTGATAGATAAATCCATAATTGGTTATTATAATTGCAAATATATCCTGTGCAGATATTTAGAATCCTACAGAATTTTTGACTAGTTAACTAGTTCATAAATTTTTGTTCAGCCAGTTTCATTTAGCCATTGTCTCTTCAAATTAGGGCTTTTGACCCATGCAAAGCAAAATTAAAAATATTTAATTAGTTTAATTCTTCTTATAAATTATTTATTAAACTAATGCGAAAAGATGCTATCTTAACCGTGCCCATTCAAGTCATGTATTACTTCTATGGGCAATTTGTGCAAAAGTTAATTTATGTCTTATATGCGCATTACTTTTATGTGCATTCAAGTCTCGCATCTCTCATGCGCATCTTGCAAACGTGCACGAGCTTTTGCACAAGTCTCACATGGGTGGTAATGTGCGACTTGATCATGCACTGTCAAGATCTGCATCTTTTCCTATTAGATTAGTAAATAGTTTGCTAAAAGAATTAAATTGGTGGTAAAATTGGAGTCGCTATCAATTTTATTTATATTCGAGAAAAATTATAAAAAAAAAAATTTGGGTTCACTTTTTCTACAGTCATTGTAGATAACTTATCTACATTGAGTCCAAAATGACGTCGTTTTGAGGCGGAAATCAATGTATTTTTGTAATTATAATTTATTTCAAGGTTATAATAATCATTTTCATTATAATTTTTTAATTTTTCAATTCAAAACGACGTCGTTTTGAGAGCAAATATAGATAACTTATCTACATTTACTGTAGAGACAGTAAAACCATTTTTTTATCTTTGCAAATTGGTTCTTGAAATCGAACGAGGTCGGAGAACCCATTATATGCGAGGAAGGGTAGAGATTAAATCCCACAACACCCTCAACACGCCTATCGTAAAATGGTTTATCTTAAACTAATTGAGTGAGTTTTATTTTAAAAAACAAGGAAACTATATTCTAATATTTATAATGAATTAATTTTAACAATTTACAAGGCAAAAGAAATAATTATTAAAAAATTACAAGCCAAAATAATAAAATAAAACTTAAATATATACAAAGAATAATAATCAAATTAATATTTTAAAGCAAAATAAAAAACTTTACAAAAAATGTGATGATTAAAAGAACTGAACAGTGACGAGGGGGTGTTCACTTTCCAAGGAAGCATTTTTTTAGTTGTGTTGGGACTCCATTCATACGCTTGTCATGCACGATATGCCCCCTTCTTCTCTAAATTTGGCACTGGGAATTGCTCAAGTCCAAGTAGCATAGGTAGAGTTATTGAAAAAAAAAAAACAATGCCTATTTTCTGGTTATTTCTCAAAAGCAAAACAACAATGGCCCCTTCCTTCAACTTCTCCACCAAGAGTAGGTTACCACCAAGAAAAGTAGGTGCAGTAGTTAAAAAACAACAAATAGCGTGTAGGTCACCACTGAGCTGGAGAAATTGTTTTTTTTTTTTTTTTGGCGATATTATTTTTAGCAAAATGAATATTTTTTCATCAAAACTATTTTTTTTTTAAAAAAAACCTCCTGAAAAAAAAAGTGTTTACATGGGTTAAAAAGCCTCAAAATAGAAATAAGTGATGCATATGAGGACCGTAAATAATATAATTTTGGTTCATATAAATAATTATTATTTTCAACTTATCCCTATTTTATGCTAATTTTACAATATTATAATGAATTTTATGAATATAATGTTGCATGACACTTCTTATGTCATGTCATAGACGCATAAACATTGTAGATCCCACTACGTAAAAAAAGAGAAAAAAATTTGGAATGGATCACACACTTTTTGAGTGTATAAAAAAAAATTGTTGTGTTATGTAACATGACAATCCTCAGTGTCATGTTACATAATAGCAATAAATTTAGGGATTTACTAATCTACATCAATAGGAGATAATATATCTCCTATCACTCTCACAATCATATAGTGGAACCCACATAATTATAAAACAAAAAAAATCATGTCTCTGTAGGAAAACACACTACTCTCCTATGGCTGGAGAGTAGTTTTTTTCCATAAATTTAAGATTGCAAATAATTTTATTTCTTTTTTCTCTCTTTCACTTTCCATTATCTCGCTGGGTTTCTCATCATAACCCTCAAACCATATATGAAAAAGAAATTCTAGACTTTCTAAACCAAATTGAAGCACTCTCATTGTCAATTTATGTGGAACTATTCCACTCAAGGTGAAGAATTAAAGATGCAAGAGTTTTGAAATAACAAACAAGCATCCAAAAAGACTTTAAGAGTATTAAACTATATAAAATAAAAAGAAATTTTATACTTTCTAAACCAAACTGTCGTTGTCAATTCATGTGGAACTATTCCACTCAAGATGAAGAATCTAAAGATGCAAGAGTTTTGAAATAACAAACAAGCATGAAAAAAAGATTCTAAAAGTATTAAACTGGGAAAAGTATCATTTTAAAGCTTTTGGGTAAAAATATTATCCAGTTAAAGTTGATTAGATAAGTTTTTTCAAAGTAACACAGTCAAACATGTCACCTATGCTGACGAGACTAGTCCCGTCAATGATACTGACGAGACTCGTGCCACATCAGCGCCACGTAGCCAGTCCTGTTACCGTAAAACTTCGGAAGGTCATAGCTTGTGACTCGGGTATTCAAATCAGATGATTTTTTTTATTTCACATAAATTTTCGAGATCTTTGCAATTACACCTCATTTGATATATTTTATCTCCCACAAACATAGTTTAAAGATCTTCTGAATTTAAATGCTCTTGATTATGATACAATTGTTACAAATTCAAATTATGTTTGTGGGAGATAAAATATGTCAAATGAGGTGTCATTGCGTAGATCTCGAAAAGTTATATGAAATAAAAAAAAATCATCTGATTTGGATATCCGAGTCACAAGTTATGGCCTTCCGAAGTTTTACGGTAACAGGACTGCCTACGTGGCGCTGACGTGGCATGAGTCCCGTCAGCATAGGTGACATGTTTGACTGCATTACTTTGAAAAAACTTATGCAATCAGTTTTAACTGGGCAATTCTTTTGCCCAAAATTTTTAAAATGGTGCTTTAGCCATATTAAACCATATAAAATAAAAAGAAATTCTATACTTTCTAAATCAAACTGAAGCACAATTATTGTCAATTCATGTGGAACTATTCCACTCAAGATGAAGAATCTAAAGATGCAAGAGTTTTGATAATAACAAACATGAATGGAAAAAAGTCTTTAAGAGTATTAAACTTGCAATAAACAAAAAGAAGTTTAAGATGACAACTAAACAAGACAACATTTGTAAAGTCCATCAAGTCAATTGACAAAGCTCAAAGGAGATCAAGATTCAAGCTATATTGAAAGAACCTAAATCCAATACCTTAAAAGTATTACATATATAGGACTTAGACTTGAATACAAGGGTAGTTAATCAAAATTGCATGAATGATCTCAAAGTAAATATGTTTTTCAAATTACATGATTCATAGCTTTTAAATTCTTGAAAATAATTTGAATAACCCATGGAAATGTTCTTGACATGACTTAGAACCTTGAAATATTTTTTTTGTTTTGTTTCAAGTCAAGAACATGCATTTGAGATGGTTTAGAGGCATCAGAATCAAGAATAGGCCACTTTGGGCTGCATAAATATCATTTGCCAAGAAGGGATTTGAATCCTTCTATGACAAGAATTCGAATCCTTTATAATAGGGATTTGAATCTCTCATAAAAAGATTTGAATCCTTGCTAGCCAATAAACTTTATAATGACTACTAACAATTATATTTTGGTGAAAACCTATATATACTAGTTTTTTTGGTAACATTATATATACTGATTTATTATGCCTCCAACAACTCTTAATCTCTATTTCATTGATCTTAAAGCTTTTATTGATTGCTCACCTTGAATCAAACACATTTATTTCTCATTCCTACTCTCTTGGGTCATTAAATTCCTTTGAGCTTTATTCTTGTGATAATTTGTACTTTGAGAATACTTAGCCAATTTCAAACATTTTCTTATTGCATACATGAGTTGAAAGGGTAGTAAACCCTAAGTGTAGGTAATGTAACTCATTGCCTTAGAAATTTGGGTGGAAGTATAAGTTGTACGAGAACCATAATTTTGTAATTGTAGTGGTTTATTCAAGCAACCTTGAAGCTTAATCATTAGAGGAGAATCAATGTGATGATTGCAATATGGACGTAGGTCATAATGGTTGTGACTGAACGAAGATAAATTGAGTTTGCATTCTCTCTACCATTTATCTCATTTACACATAAGCATTCTTAGCGCATTTGAGGCATATTTAACTTTTGATTTGTTGATTATTATTTGCTTGATTTAACTTTTATTCATCATCTTTTATTTATCTTAAATCAAAGTATCTCAAAAAATTAATTTTACAAAGAAAGTGACATTTTGTGAAAATAATAATAATTTAAAACTCAATCCATCCCCTCTTGAGTTTGAGACCACTTGTTCAACAGTTCCATCTCTCCACCGTCTCTAAAGAAGATGCTCGCTACATTAGTGGTTTTATTTCCCATATTATAATGACTCTAAAATACTAAAATGCTCAAATTCATAAATCAATATTGATAGATATGAAATAGACGTTTTTTTTTCTTTGGAGATATATACATTGCTTTTGTAATTTTGACCTGACCTTGGTGAAGGTCAGAGGTCTTCCTAAGGGGAGGTTTGGCAGATGATAAATTTTTTTTGCCCGAGAATCATTATTTCCAGGAATATGATGAGAAAATCACTTTTCCGGGAGTGTTATCAAAAAATTGTTTGGTAAGTTAAAATATTACTGGAATTTTATCTTAAAAAAATGTAAAATTTTTACAACACTTTGGAGTCCAATAATACCACCAAAAACCCTTTTGGTGGTATTCTTGGAAGTCATTTTGAAAAAAAATTATACACAAAATTAAATTTCAGAAAAATTAGATTCTCGAATTTTTTTTCAGAAATCTTATACCAAACATGGATAAAAAAGATTACCACCGTCACTTTCCCAAGAATATCAAAAAATTTCCCATAACAAACCCCCCTTGATAAGTTCATCACTTTTACTACCAATTTTATTGTACTTAGATATTAATGGTTTCAATTAATTCTATTTCTTTTCCCTCTTAAGTGCCTCCACCGTTTCTCTAAGTCTGAAATTTCAAAAATAAAATAAAACAAAATCTTTACTTTATTAACAAAAATTTGAAGATCTCATTAAAAAAGAAAAAGAAAACATCAATTGTCTATTTCTAGGAAGGGAAAAATATTTCTGCAGTTAATGCAGATAAATTATCTGCATTTATTTTTAAAACGATGTCGTTTTGGTATTGAAATCTTAAAAAATTATAAATATAAAGACTATTATAACCCTGAAATAAATTAAAATTACAAAAACACTATGATTTCCGTCCAAAATGACGTCGTATTGGACTTACTGCAGATAACTTCCCTGCAGTAACTACTGCAGAAAAAGTGAACCCTTAAAACTAATTTGTTAAGTTTTTTCATTATTTAGCGGGGTGGACAATAAAAATGATATAAAGGTGTTTTTAATACAAAACATTACCATTGAAAATTTGATTCTTGGAAAGATACCCTTAAAACTTAAAAGTACCACAAATATATCATATAAAATGTGAATTTCTAAATAAAAATTAAAGTTTAATATCACGCCAAAAAAGAAGAAGAAAAAACTTATCTGAGTTTGATGTTATTGCCTATGTTCACTGTGATAATGCGTTGAAAAGGAACCATTTAGGTTAAGATAACACAAAAAAACAAGGTTGTGGTCGGAACATTGCTGAGGCTGCCGGTTACAGATCGAAACCGTTTACTCTGTTGAAAATTGCTCCCTGGTACCCCTCTCTCTCTCTCTCTATCCATTCTCACTCATTCATTCATAGTGTAATCACAGTGAAGCATTAGTAATTTTGCTAAGTAGAACCAACCCAGAATGTTGATTTTTGTTCTATATACAAAAGTTACATAGGATTCACCATCATTACTTTCCACTTCAATCATGGCTACACTGCTGAATACGGTGCCTCCAGCTACAAATTTATCAGCAAAAACAAAAAGAAACGGTTATGGTTTCTTGTATTCCCATGTTCCAAATCTTAGCAATTTTTCCCTCAACAAGGGTTTTTCTAGAGTTTTGGCTTTGGCCCAGATTGCTATTTCCCCAAAAGATTCTGTTTTTACTGTGCCCAATTGGAGGGCTGGGAAGAATGACCAAAAAAGTAGGGAGGTTAGGGTTAATGATGCATTTCTTCATTTAGAGTATATGGTGGGTAAGGGCCATAAGCCTGAGGTAGCTCAAGCAACTCAGCTTTTGTATGATCTTTGCAAATCCAATAAAGCAAGGAAAGCTGTTAAGGTGATGGAGATGATGGTAGATTCAGGTATTATACCTGATGCAGCTTCATACACCTACTTGGTTAATTATTTGTGTCATAGAGGCAATGTTGGGTATGCAATGCAGTTGGTTGAAAAGATGGAGGGGCATGGCTTTCCAACTAATACTGTTACCTATAACACTCTTGTTAAAGGGCTTTGCATGCATGGGAAATTCAACCAGAGCTTGCAGCTTTTGGATCGTTTAACTAAGAAAGGCATGGTCCCAAATGCATTCACATATTCTTTCTTGCTTGAAGCTGCTTATAAGGAAAGGGGAGTAGATGAAGCCATGAATCTTCTAGATGAGATAATTGCCAAGGGTGGGGATCTTAATTTGGTTAGTTACAATGTATTGTTAACTGGGTTGTTCAAGGAAGGTAGAACTGAAGAAGCTATTCAGCTTTTCAGGAATTTGCCTGCAAAGGGGTTCAATCCTAATGTTGTGAGTTATAACATTTTACTAAGGAATTTGTGCTATGAAGGGCGGTGGGAGGAAGCAAATGAGCTTTTAGCAGAGATGGATGGAGTTGACTTGTCTCCCTCTGTAGTTACTTACAACATATTAATTACTTCTCTTACTCTCCATGGAAGAACCAAACAAGCTTTCAAAGTCTTAGATGAAATGACGAAGAGTGGGTTCATGGTGACTACTACTAGCTACAATCCAATTATTGCCCGCCTCTGCAAGGAAGGGAAAGTGGATCATGTAGTTCAGTGTCTTGACCAAATGATTCATCGACGCTGTAATCCTAATGAAGGAACATACAATGCAATCGCGATGCTTTGCGAGCAGGGGAAGGCGCAGGAAGCTTTCTTTATATTCCAAAGCTTGGGTAATAAACAAGACTGCCCCCTGCATGATTTTTACCAAAATTTGATTTCAAGCCTGTGTAGGAAAGGGAACACATATCCAGCTTTTCAGGTATTATATGAAATGGCAAAGTATGGATTTTCTCCAGATTCCTATACTTATTCATCTTTGATAAGAGGAATGTGTAGGGAGGGAATGTTAGATGGAGCTATTGAGATATTCAGGATTTTGGAAGAAAATTATTACCGGCCTGATATTGATAACTACAATGCACTTCTACTTGGATTTTGCAAATCTCAAAGAACAGACTTGTCAATAGAGATATTTCAGATGATGATTAATAAAGGATGTATGCCTAATGAGATAACCTACACCATTCTTGTTGAGGGGCTTGCTTTTGAAGAGGAAATGGATATAGCAGCTGAGCTGCTGAAAGAGTTATATGTGAAAAAGGTTCTGAGCCAAAGTACTGTTGAAAGACTATCTATGCAATACGACCTCAAGGAATTAGAATTAACAGGGTAGAGACATATACCCTCAAGGTATATAACAATAGAAAGTGAGTAGGGTTATTTTGTACTTTCAGATATGAATGGAGTTTTCTCAGCTTGAGTACTTGATTACCTATAGATTGTTATTGTTCAGTGAAACAAAGTTCCTGAATGCTTGAAATTTTGATTGAATTGAATGTTTAGAGATGTATTGTGAAAAGGTTCAAGCAGAGAATATGATGTTTGCTTCATTCTCTTCCATGCTCTAAATTTAACACTGCTTTTGTGAACTGAGTCATCTTAGTTCTTTAAATAATTCATGTTATCCATTTGTCTATTCGGTTTATTTGCTTCTTGGAACACAAATTTCTTTTGTGCATGCCAGTCTGATTGCTTGTGAATGTATATCATTTACTGCAACTATAAACGTTCAAATCTGAGCAGGTTATTACCCTCTATTTTCCTTTTCTTCTAAAGTGCTTTTGAAATATCCCAAGTCCTTCTGAGACAATTTAATGTATATATGCAGCTAACTTGATAACTTTTGACCTCACTGTGACTTCAAATGCCACTCAATTGTGAACAGCAATGCTGCTTGTCATTTTAAATTCCCCGTTTTGAAATGAGAGCTGATCGTAATTGAGTGATGAAACATTAAATGGGCACAAAAGTAGTACTTGACACTTACTTGTTTTGAAGCACTTGCCTATATTATATATATATATATATATATATATGCTTAATGTTTCTACAGTAAATGTAGATAAGTTATTTACATTCGCTCCTAAAACGATGTCGTTTTGAGTTGAAAAATTAAAAAATTATAATGAAAAAGACCATTATAACCCCGAAATCAATTATAATTATAAAAATACCTTGATTTTCGCCTCAAAACGATGTCGTTTTAGGTTCAATGTAGATAAGTTATCTACATTGATTGTAGAAAAAACGAATCCATAAATATATACATATATATATATGGGAAATAATTATCTCATGTTGCATGAGATAATTATCTCATGCAACAGAGACAAAATAGTGGAGTCCATTATTTTTCTTTTTTTTAAAAAAAAGTAGTGGATCCTATAATCTAATCTATGTTGCATGAGATAATTATCTCATGTAACATGAGACTTATATATATATATATATATATATATATATATAAACTAAGAATAGCTCCTAAAAAAGAAGCATATATATATAAACTAAGAATAGCTCCTAAAAAAGAAGTATCAGGTAGAAACTATGTCCCGAAGATGTGAATTGATGTTGTTAAGAAACGATTGACATCAATAACTGCGGGCTCAATAATACATGGGCTTAGGTGCAATGGAGAGGTTTTGCATGCATGGACTTCCCTTGACAATATCCTACTTGCATTGCTAACAAATTCGAATGCCACAAAATTGAGGACAAACTGTGCTGCTTATTTTTTTCAATCAGTAGAAAAAAAATATTTTTGAATAATCATACATTTTAATAACTTTATAAAATGGGTTTTCCAAATATACCATAACTTTTTTTTTTTTAACTTCAATTTTCTTTTTACGTTTAATACTTTAAATTCGGTCTCGGGTTCTTTATTTCCCCCCCTTATCAGGTAAAAAAAATAAAAAATAAATCTGCTTATATATAGCATAACAAGTGAGAGCGTACAAATTTAAACTTAAACTTTAAACTTTAAAATTTAAACACACCTTTCATCCGATACACACACATTTTTTTAATAAAATTTAAACTTTAAAATTTCACATTTACGTGAAATCAATTGAACAGTAATAAAGATCCAAAAGGATCATATTTGTATTTAGGTGAATTTCTCCAATTTTATTTTACTTTATTTTTTGGTTAAATTTTATGTCAAATTTAGTTAACCAGATATCTTCTTTTAGATATTTTGAGGTGATAATTTTTATTTTCATAATTTATGTAAGTTGTGTAGATCATGTAAAGAGAAAAAATTTACTCGAATTCGGATGAAAAATTTTAAGGGAAAAAAACGAGCACCTGTGGTAGCACTAATTTAAGATCGGCATATTAGCATTTTTGTTTTTGTTTTTATATCCTGTAGAAGCAAAAGCCAACAATTTATGAAATAAACATTTGAAAGAGATAATTTGATGCTCACATCAACAAAAGCAAACTGTACTAAAAATATAAAATTTTTCGTTATCTATATAAATATATATAGTGCATTTTTTTCACCAAAACAATTTATGGTACGTGCAATCAATTTATAGTAATTTATGCAGATGATTAGATGTTTAAAATTTTATTTTTGTTAACTTGTTTAGAACAGCTTATACATTTTTGTTATTTTTATCTTTTCAGTAATAAACAAGTTGGAGCTATTACTTTGCCTAGGCTTTGGGGCATAAAATATGCTCATTTTGATTTGTAAAACGTACACATGGGAGTTAACTATTTGTTGAGGGAATATTAGTAATATGATGAGCTTATACTTACCAATTTTTTTTTCTTATCACCGCTTATCACCAATCTTGTTATTGTTGGATTAAAATTAAATCAACGGTTATAAAATAATATCAAATAAGAGTTATTGATTTGATTTTGATCTAACAATAACAAAATTGATAATAATAAAAAAAAGTGATAAGTATAATCTATCCCTAATAATATACATTTAGTTATAATACAATTGTATATTTAATGAGCTTAGAGCTAAAACCTATAACTAGCTAGCACTCTAGGAGTTGTAATAATTAATAATCAAGTTAACGTTTTGCAGATAATTTATGGATTAGGGGTCCAATATTTGAGTTAGGTTATGAGTTGCTTTCAAAGAATCCCATGCACTTAATGCATACAAAAGAAAGCTGAGGTTCTTGGTAGACTTTGATCTGCACATATACCTAATCTAATACTTACTTTCAACGTTGTGTTACAACTGTTTACACACATGCTATCGGATATCCTTGTTTGACATCAAAATCGTAATAAGAAAAGTCACTACCAATCGTGTGCATCGAAAGAGAAATGTACCAATGCGTCGAAGGACTTGGAATTAATCTTCCAACACTGCCACTTTCCTTTCCTTTCCATGCACTATCAACAGTTTTATATAGCTGGTCATAGTGTATGCATGGTGTGTCGTCTGAGCTTCCATGAAGTAGATCAGTGATGAGAGATTGAGAGCAATGCGCTCCTCCGTGTGCTCCGGTGGTAAAAAAAGAGAGAGGTGTATACTTACAAAGTATTCTGACACTCAAATTAATATCCGTCATAATCATAAAGGTAAAATATTTATGTGATATCTATTGCTTGAACGAAAATAAAGACCTTTTATATATGCAAAATATTTACGGTACACCCATCGCACCACTGACTCGGTGCGACGGATCAATCAAAATAAGATAATTTTTGTCATATATACTTAACATAAAAATACTAAATAATTTAATTTTTTATTAAAATTGTTATTATGTAATATTAATATATTCTAATGAAAATAGGACAAATAATTTTTTAAATTTATTAGAATAAAATACGAATAACATATTCTAACCCATTTTTTAATATATTAATATATTGCGTGAAATCTTTTTTTTTTTTTTTTTTGGCAAACAGCATGAAATCGTTTTAAATTATACATTTCTTTTCTTTTCTCGTTAGTTTTTTTTTTTTTTTTTGTGTGAGTTGGGTTTGGGGGGTGGTGTTACTGTTGAATCATTAGTTATTAAATAATAATAAAAAATAAAAACATTTAAAAGTTCATTTTGTTTGTATATCCAACATATTTATTTAGTCTATGTATTCATATCATTGTAATGAATTTTAATTTGAGCTGACAACATAAATAGCGAGGTTTTTTTCTTCCCCTAAATAATCACTTTCAGCAATATTATTCGTATGTTGAATCTGCCTTAGTTTTGGAACTTGTTCAATTTATGTATAATGCTAAAAAAATTTAAAATTTAGAAACTCAATCTTTGGGGGTATCATTTTTTATACTCTAATCTAAACGAACCTTGTGTCGGTAAGGGGAAACGGTATGCAATCTAGATCGCATTAGCAAATTTTTGATGAATTTGTGATTAATTCGTGAGTTAAAAAATCTTTATCCTCCAATTAAGAAAATCAAGCTACCATCTTTCTACTCCAATTCGTGTAATATGTTTCGTTATGACAATTTAGTATTAAATAATTCTTATATCATTTTTTACATTTACAATTAAATAATAACTTATATTAAAATAAAATTATTTAGTATTTTTATATTAAATATAATAACTCTAATTTTATAATTTCAAAATTAGTGGATTATTATGAAGACCTTAGGATCATAAATGGAATGAGGATGAAATTCTAAGAAGTTTGATATACATATTGAGGGTATTTTAAACAGGTGGATTTTCATCTGTTATTTTTGACTGCTGACATAGTAAAAGTCAGTAAAATAGCTCCACTTGAGAAAATTTGAGTTAGAGAGCTATTTTGATGTTGTGATTATCATAGATGAGGTTAGGAGATGATTTGATGAAGTTTGATACCCATATTGGGGTATTTCGGAAAAGTCACTTCTGTCGGGTATTTTATACTGCTGTAGAAGCAGCCAGTAGAATTCCAGAACCGAAAAAAGATGAGAAAATGGAAAGAAAGAACAATATATTCCTAACAAGTCATAATTAAACCAATAATATTAAAGTTAAGAAGATTATGAAATACGGAAACATTTAAGAACACCTGTAAAGACTATAGTGCAATTAAACTGCTGTAAGTGGATATGTGATCTACTAATCAAAATTTTAAGTTATGAACATGATAATTAGACAAAATTAATATTAATTACTTAAATTTAGGATCTTGGGTGTTTCCGGTTAGAAATTTGATAACAGTTCAAGTAAAAATTACATCGGGTGTCACTAAATGACAGAAAGTCACTTAAGTGACTTGGTCAAAACCCTAGAAGACTAGGGCAACCCTCCCAAACACTCCCATCAGCAGCCCACTCTCTCTCTACCCTTTGGAGATTTAAACTTTCTCCTCCTTCTCCACCAAAACTCCCTCAAATCACCAAACACTCTTCACCAAAGTTGTTCCCCTCATCATCCTCTTCAAGAATATCCCATTTTTATTTTGAAAAGCCAAATTTTTGTGGGTCTTCTTCTCCATACAACAGCGTGTTCATGGCTTCCTCAAGCCATGGTGATGGTGTTTTGAGTTATACTTGAAGAACACCACTTGGATGCTTATTTCCCTACGT